CTGAGTCCTTACCAACTCTAGCAGAGGAGATTTAGATGGCTTAAAGAATTACACCCGTCTATGGATCATGTAAAATTAATATGGGTCCTCACCCCTGTAGGACCCAGCCCATTGTTATGCCTCTGATGGCAAAGGTAGTTAGAGATTTTGGTGAGCAATTATCACCACTTGGGCCATTAGGAGAGCAGGGTGCTATAATAAAGCTTATTGTTGTCTGCTGTATTGTGCATTCTTAATTTCAGCCACAAGCCAATAGTGTCCTCCCATTCTTCTCCCATTCTACTGTTCACTCACAATGGGAGTAGAGGTGGGGAGGGCAAACTGTGTCCTTTCACCAGAATTCACACCACTCTGGAAACTGCTGAGCCAGGAAAATTCTGTTGTTGTTTCAGATTGGCAAGTGTAACCGGGGAACTTCTCAGGGGTGATTTGCCAGTGGCCTGCCCATCTGTTTCTGGGCCAAACACCTACCTTCTCACCTGCCACACCTTGTTGTTATCTAATTAATGATCTTAATTAGGCGGGAGATTGCACATTTTCTTGCCCCGATGCCAGGGGGCACTATCTGCGGCTCCGTACCTTCCCTCCACCACAGCCCATGCCTCACAGATGGCATCCTAGTTTTTACTCTCACCAGCCTCACACTGGGCCCCAGAATCCTCCAGTCAGGACCCCTCTAAGATCCCGCCATTCAGGCGGCCTACCCTGCCCTCATTCAAGGCTGCATAGCTCCCTGAAACTATTTCCCCTCTCGGGCGTGGTTCCCCCGGAACTTTTGGCCACAAAGGGCCTGGCCTCACCTCCAAGGCCAGTCAGAAACCCCAGGCCCTCAGCTCTGGGTATCCCTCACAGTGGGCCCCTGGCCCTTTTGACCGTTATGGTCCTGGCCCCAGCACTGACCAGTCAAGAGTACTCTATATCAGGCCTCTGAGTCGCTAGCCCCACTCTCTCTCTGGGGTCTGCCTTCTGGACCCTACTAGCAGGTGACTCACCCAGTTGTGGGAGCTGGGGTTATGGCGCCCCGACCCACCTTTCACTGGGGTGGTAACTGGCCTGGCATTTCCTGGGGGCTCCCATGCCACTGAGAGCCCCACCAGGCCACCCACTCCCAGCAGGTGCAATTTTAGGTCATGCCCAGGACCAGGAGCCTCCTACAGCTCCTCCCTTACCTCTGGGATGTTCCAAGAAGCCTCGCAGTCAGGCAATGTTTCTGCCTGGCCCACCAGCAGGGAACTGATCTGTTTATCTAGGCAGCCAGGAACTAAAATGCCTGCCGCAATCAAGCACCTGCTGGCTGCTTGGCTCAGGTCTTAAAGTGGCAGGCACAAACAGTGCCCTGCCACAGCAAGTCATTCAGTTAATGGCAGTTTAAATAACCACTTGATTTTGTCTCTCCAGGCTGGAACTAATATGGACCACACTCCTGTCCCCCTTTCTGGGCCATAGTAAAGACACAGCTCAACACCCCCTACCCATGCTCTTCCCACACTTAGCACTGTGTATGCTCAAGCTGTAAACCTGTCGTATTTAAAAGCTGTCTTTCAGACTGGAGCTTTTTTTTCTCCAAATGGTCAATTTTGCTGCCTAAGAGGTTAAGTAGTGGAGAGACAATATTTATATATTTTAAACATCTCTGAATATAAGTGTAACCCGGGCAGTACTCCAAGAGGTACCCCCTCTCCAATTGAAGGGATTAAAGCAGGTGCACAAGCACTGTGGGAGGTGTAGGGACTCTCCTCCCCTATAGAGCAGAGCCAGACCACCAATGGGGCCTTAACCATATACCTTTTAATGAGAGAACAGTAGTAGGAACAAAACAGGCATCAACCAGGGGATATAGGGGACACTACAATGCCCCAAGTGGCCAGGATTTAACAAAGTTTAGACACTTACAATCATTGACAAAAGACAGGGTTAACAAAATAGAAAACACAAACAGCAGAACAAACAATACTGGTTAGTGAAATATAAAAGGCACAAAATACAAAACGTCAAATAACAAGGAATATAGGGCCTTGGAACAGGAGGGGAGGGGGAGAGGAACACAATGACCCCTTTCCACTGCAACAAGAATTTCTCCTTCTCACTTCACTCACCCCAGGTCACCATAGCTGGGACTTGAACTCAGACCTCCCACATGGTAGGCAGAAACTCAACCACACAGCCACCAGTACTGGTACTACTCCAAGCTGCTAGGGGTCTTGACCTTCCTGGAGCCCTGGCCTCACGTCAAGCCGCCTGGCTTCTTACTGCAGAAGCTGGAAGCAGAGCTGGGAACCTCTCAGGTTGCTGCTCAGATCCTTGCTGGAGCTAGGGAGCCTCTCCTGCTGGCCGCAGCCTCTCATAGGCGTTCTCTGCTGGGCTCCAGGATCCTCTCCTGCTGGCTGCATGCTGTGCTGCTCAGGGTCCAACTGCTGCCTGCACGTCCAACTCCTTCAGGTGCTTCTGGGGCAACTGTTCCCACCCCGCTGGCCCAGCTCTTGCCAGCTCTTTGAAGCTCCTTCCTTGTGGTCCCTCACTGGTCTCCCCTGAGTCAGCCACACTGCCCCTTTTATCCCCCTCCAGGTGACCCAAGGGGCCAATCAGGGGACACGGAGGCTGAGTCTCTGGGGCCTGACTGTTGAGTAAAAGGAATCCCAAGTCCCCCAATCATCTTTTACCCCTTCAAAACCCCTGGGCTAAGTCACTCCCAGCTAGCCCGTCACATAAGGAAAACATTTAATATTGATAAGTGATTAAAGCAGATAGTCATTAACTAATATTTATTTATGGAACATTTTCACCAAAGGACTATATATAATCAATGACCTGGAAGATGGGATGGAGTGCAGCCTCAGAAAGTTTACAGATGACACCAAGCAGGGGGCAGTAGTAGAAACACTGGAAGGCAGTCCTAGGATTCAAAGAGATCTAAACAATTGGAGAACTGGACCAAAAGAAATCTCATAAGGTTCAATAAGGACAAATTCTACACTTAGGACAGAACAATCCCATGCACCAGTGCAGGCTGGGGACTGACTGGCAAAGCAGCCGCTCTACAGAAAAGGACCTGGAGGTTATAGTGGACAATAAGCTGAATAGAAGCCAACAGTGTGCCCTTGTTGCCCAGAAGGCTAATAGCATACAGGACAGCATTAATAGGAGTGTCATCAGCAGGTCAAGGGAAGTGATTAGTCTCTATTTGACACTTGTGAGGCCACATCTGGAGTAATGTGTCCAGTTTTGGGCCCCTCACTACAGAAAGTATGTGGGCAAATTAGAGAGAGCCCAGCAGAGGGCAACAAAAAATGGTGAGAGGGCTGGGCACATAAATTCTGAGGAGAGGTTGAGGGAACTGAGCTTATTTAGTCTAGAGAAGAGAAGACTGAGAGGAGATTTAACATCAGTCTTCAACTACCTGAAGGGTGGTTTGAAAGAGGATGGACCTAGACTGTTCTCAGTGATGGCAGATGACAGAAAAAGGAGCAACAACCATTTTTTAAGTTGCAGCAAGGAAATTTTAGTTTAGATATTAGGAAGAACTTTCTCACTAGGAGGGTAGTAAAACACTGGAAAAGGCTACCCAGAGAGGTTGTGGAGTCTCCATCCTTAGAGATTTGTAAGACCTGGCTATACAAAGCCTTGGCTGGGATGATCTAGTTGGGGATGGTCCTACTTTGAGCAGGGGGTTGGACTAGATGTGACCTCCTGAGATCTGTTCCAACCCTCATTTTCTATGATTCTGTGATTCTATATTAAGTGCAAGAGAATCAAAATGTCAAAGTATAAGTAACTTATTTAAACTTAAAAAAAAAAACAAATGCTTTCATTTAAAATATCAAAATTATGTTGGCACATACTCTTTAAATATATAAAATTCACACACCTGTTAGTGCATCTTAATTATCCTTTAATATGACAAAACAGATTTATCAGATATATTTTGTATATAAATATCTTCTCTTATCTGGACAATGCAACAAAATGTATTTCATGTAAAGGAAGAAAGAACTTTTTTTTGTTTGATAGTTTTGTAAAAGCAAACCTAAAATTTCCTCTTTTATAGGGTTATCATAAACATGCTATGGCTATGTAGAGCTGTTCATTTGCTCTGGGAGAATTGCTGCTGTCCCAAGAGAAACCACAGGTGTAGAGACATTCATGGTTGAATGTCTCTGAGTGCTTTGGGCTGCAAATACCGAGTCCTGAAGCACTTAGAGGGTATGCTTCGGTCTCAACTTTTTCCAGCTACACCCAAACCCACCCTCTCAACTGAGTTGCCAGCTCCTCTGCCCCATCACTGACCCAGCAACCCCCTCCACCCACCTTTACTGATCTGCCAGACTTTGTGCCCCTTGCCTAGACATCAGCACTTGGTGCTCTAGAGCCCCCTAGCAGACTAGTGTCAGCACCACAGACTCTCTGGTGCTCAGCTTGAATGTCTGTAAAGAGCTCTCCAAATGAATTTTTTCTACTGGGAGAACAAACCCGGGAAAATTCTCCCAGATCATTTGAATGCATGTATGCAGCCAATGGCTATTATATAACCAGAGAATAGTATTTTTGAATAAGGCAATGTTCTATGAAATGAATGATATACATGTGCCACAGGAGATTCCCACAGCACATCTGCAACAGGGGAATTCTCATGCAGGTTCCCTTGCTTGCAAAAGCACCGCCTGATCGGGCGTGGATACCTGAGTCACTTACTCTGCAGTGACTCTTTCCTGCAGGGGAATTCCTGGGCCATGTAATAAATAAGCAGTGTGACTACCTTTGGTGGCAGCAACACTTTTTGGTACTTACAGCACAAAAGGCTAGGAAGTACATTTGCTCACAATTTGTGCTGCCATAAAACATTTTATGGTGGCAAAACAGTGACATCTGTTTTCATCCAAAGAGAGAAATCTGCAAATCACCACGGCTATACAGCAATACTGCATCTTCCTTTCACAAAAGTGGCCAGAGAAAAATGGAAAGTCACAGAAATAAATTAACAAATGGGAAAGCTCTTCACTTACCTCTGCTTCTGTCTTGATGTATCAGGAATGTTGAAGGTGTAGGTTCAAGCTGTAAACCTGAAGGAAAATTTAATGACCATCTTTCAGACAGGAGTCTTTTTTTTCTCTGACTGGTCAATTTTGCTGCCTAAGGGATTTTCCAATAGAAAGGCACTATTTATATATTTTTAAATTTCTCTAAATATAAGCAAGACACTCAATGCGACACTCAATGCTGAAAATGCTCATTAACTATGACTTATTTAGCAAACATTCTCACCAGAGGGTTATCTTAAGAACAAGGGAGTCAAAATGACAACATATAAATTGCAACCTCATGCCCTGAAACTCCTCTGCCTACCCCCCGCAAAAAACAAAAGTTTCAGGTAAATGTTTTAAATAGATATTTTCATAGTAAGTAAAGGCCTCAGTTAAATATTTGAAAAAGTAAAAGTCTACATTTATTTTTTTTAAAAGACGGACTGTTTTAATGCACGGTGTAACAAAATGGTCTATTCTTTAAAGAAGGGGCAACTAACGCTGTTAAAGAAATTCAGGTGTGGGGCATAAGGAGGGAGTGTCCCACTAGGAGCATAAAGAGCTCCTGAACAGAAAAGAAAGAAAAGAGAGAGAGAAAATTAAAAAAAATAAATAAATACCTTTATCATAAAAATATTGTAAAAAGAAACATTAAAGTGCAAAAAAGTAGGCCTGTGTGAAGCTGCTAGTATTCACAGATGTTAGGGTCGGAAGGGGCCTCAAAAGAGCATCGAGTCCGACCCCCTGCATAG